TTTGCTAGCAGAATATAGATATATAGTTCTTTTCAGATAATATTTTGGTCATGCTTTTGAAAAAAATGAACGTAGAATAACATAGTTAAATAGTATTCATTAAAATAATCCAGATGGAGGTTGTCTTTCCACGATATAACTCAACTCTCAGTAGGTGTAGTAGGAATTACTTTTGACTTTTGTTCTGTGTACGCAAGCAAATGGCCCAGCTGATCAGTTATGTTTTTTAGTTCCTGAACAGCACTACCCACCTCCTCTTTTAATTCTCTTAGTTCAGAAATTAATATATCCATTTTAGAATAACCATGTGAAGGTCTAATGAGAAAAGATCCATCAGGAGAAGGTCCTGCAATTAAAGGAATTCCAGAAAAAGCAAGTCCAGAAGATGGGGAGATAGTAAAAGATGGCAAAGGTCCAGAAGAATATCCAGGAGAGGATACTTGTTCCTCATCACAAGGAGGCCCAGCAGAGGGTAGGTGAAGAACAGGAGAAGAAGATCCAAGAGCTTCTGTTTTAATGGTAAGCTGTGGTTGTAATGATTTGTTGCTGTTGAATGCAGGAGAATCATAGGAAACTGAACATGATGAAGCAACTGTAAAATTAAAATTTATTTAATTGTACACACTAATGTACAATTCCAAACAAATCTCTCACAGTATTAAAATGCTTTAGGATATGCAATGTTAAAATATTACAGTTATAGTACATGACGGTTAAAGCATCACATCATTTTTTTCTACTCTGGGTCAAACATTTTTTAGTAAAAAATATTAACAGTTTAAACTACTGATAAAATATGCAAGATAAAAGCTTACTGTTTCCCTAGAGACCAATTAAGTTTGCTTTTCTTTTTTCTTTTTTGGAAAAAAAAGAGAGCTTATTTTAAAAATCATGTCAGTTCTTTTCATAGAAGCCCAGCATAGCAATCCATGCAGCTGTTTCATGTTTTAAATTATTTAATTTTTGAAGAAGCATCCTTTATAAATAGTATTGTTTGTACAGAATGCTTATTGGTTTCTGTAATCATATAAATTAACATCAATTGAAATGTTATTATTATATGAACCTGAACAAGGATTAAAAATAATTTATAATTTTGAGGACTAAGGTGAAGTATATCAGTCCATTCCTTTTTATTATCATTCCACAGCTCTGAGTAATATTAAGTAAAAACTGTCGAAGACCATGGGCTGTAATCCATATAAGACTATGGATCCATAGTTCTAATATTATGATATAAAATTATATGCCAAATCTGTACCTTCCTATATTTAGGTCTTTATTAGAGGGGAAAGAATTAACTGCTCTGAGCAAAGTAGAATGGAGTAGCTACATTTTCACTTAAATGACAAGTGATTTTAATTCACAAGCGACATAAACTTCTGATGCTATTATAGGATGTCCTGATAGCCTATTGGCTCACTAATCTCAATTATTTCAGAATTATATCATTACTGTAAGATTTTTAATCTTAGAGTAAATTCTTATCTTTTTTCCCCAGATCTAAAACAATCAGAAATATGTACAATCTCTATCAACTAAAATCAACTGGGGGGGGAAAAACAGAGTAGTTTTTGAACAATTCAGATAGAAGTATATACCAAGAATGTGACTTAATCTTATGCCATGCACAATTTCAAAATTAGTTTCCAAATTAGCTAACTCAGGAAGCAAATAATTGATGAATATAACACTGTCTTTTTCAATAAAATGTGCCTAAGAGAAATAAACAAGCAGGAAATACAACAAAATGTTGCAGGACAAAGTGCTGCAATTTTGAAGATACCCTTTTCCCCTCAATAATCAGTCAAATTTCAACCGTCAACAAATATATTCAGTGTTCGTTATAATGCTCCGGAATCTTCATCTTAATTTTGTTTGTCTCTAACCTTGTTTTATTACATAATTTAACAAACCTACAAGCTCTCAAATGTGTTGATACTTCTCTTGCAAAAAGTCAATAACTATTTTCACTATTTATAGACTGAAACTCAGAATCTGTTGTTTAGGATAACCTTCACACTTCTTCAAAGGTGAAACTCTTAATACATAATGTTTTAAATCCATACAATTCCCACTTTTCTTAATTGACAACAAAACTATCATCTTTTGTTGTTGTTGAAAAAGTAACTACTTACCAATAATTGTGGTTCTGCAAGTTCATATTTGTGGAGCAAAGATCTCAGTTGCAGCTGAATTTCGGGAACCTTTTAGAAAAGCTGTGTCTATTGTTATTGCAATACCATACTTTTATGGCACTGAAGGGAACTGAGGTTAACAAATAACTCATCTTCTCCCACTAGCCTCAGAAATTTAGGAAAGCAGCAATTTGGTCAACAGAGTTTCTTCTTTCTCTTTTATGATGACACCAAATTCTGTCGCATGGACACCTTTTGCAAGTGCAGCTTCTTCCTACCCTTATATCTGAGATTAGAGAAAAGCAAACCAAAGCCTCCAGAATGTTCAGTAGCCCAAACTGAGAAGCTGAAAAAATACATAACTTGTTAAGACGATCTCCTGAAGATACCATGATTCTAGGACAAATTGCATCAGGCCTTAGTACTTACCAATTCAGAACACCAAAGTCATATTTGTGCTGAAGTTCCCGCAAAATGAAACCTCAAGCATATCTAATCTTGGTACAAAAGCATTTGCCTCTTCATTTCATAAGATCAGAAAAAAGTTGTTTCAATAACAGAATAGTTACTGTGATAGATAAGTCGTGCTTTCTGGAGCAAGTGGTTTTCATTTTAGAATAAGCTAGAAAGACATGTGTCAATGCATTTTGGATACTATTCTAGCAGACTAATTGACAATGAAGGATGTACTTGTTATTGAAGCACATCAAGAAAATCATATGCATTTTGATCTAAGAAAGATAAAATGTCACTTAAACTGAATATAGATACAAAAAAGGCATAAATTCAATGACCATGCACAGAGCATAGTAACGATTATAGAAAATAAATTGATAGCACCCCAAAAGACCATATAAAATAATATTAAATATCAATCAGAAAAAGTGAAATGTAAGAAGGGCAAACAATAAAAATTAAAATTATGAAAAAGTATGTTTGTATTTGAAACAATTTAAGCCTTTAATGGCTTGTTCACATTCATGAATACATTCAGACACATTTTTCTTCGCAACTGAAGGTTACCAAAGCTTAAGCACCACATATCTCTACACTCCACAACTAGAACTATGCAGAGACCACGTGAACTTTTAACCTATCAGCACAATTTTGACAATTAGACTCTGTATAAATGTCATGTCTCTTTCAGAGTAGATTCTGTGCTTATATAGTTTGATCCTGTTCCCACACCATGTATAGAAGTGATTGTACTAATGTGCAGCATTGCTTTTAACCTTGAATACGGAAATTGCTTTCTCAGTTCCGCACTTAAGTATCTATGATGGTTTCTAGTAAAGGCAATCATTTATAAACATGGCAAGAGCAACAGAAAAGTAGATAAGTTATAGCAATTTAAGCAACATTTCGGAACTATCTGAATTCCAAAACTTATTCATAAAAGCAAGAAAAAAAAATCACAGATGACTGTGATTAGAAACCAACACAATAAGCCAATTATTGGGGGGATTTACTTCATACTTTTTTAAAATACAAAAATAAACAATTATTGCAAGGTTTTTGATATCAAGTTCATAACTGTATGTATTGAAAATTTTCATTTTTCATCATAAAATTTTTACATTTATATTTTGAAAAAACAGAAGGACTCAAAATGTTATTTTAAAAATTCTGTTCAAAGAACAGAAAAAGAAAAGGAAGGAGACAACTACAATAGAAAGGCTCCAGTTATCAAGGTTAAATTGAGAACTTTATGCAGCACCATGAGTCTTAAAAAATAATGTTTTAAGTGTTGTATTAAGAAGAAATTAGACAGAAATTTATGACCAATATATGAAATTGGCATAATTATGTTGATGTACAGTATAAAATAGAAATTGGAGTAAGTGATTGTAGGTATAAATGTATGAGAAAAAGGAAATAAACTTCTGAAAACAGATAATTCTAACTTTTAATGTGATATTTTATCAGATCTTTTACTATATGTTTTAATAATCTTTGGAATTTCATGTCACACATCACAGACCTTCAAAATTATTAAGCAATACTATAATATAATATGAACAGAACTAAAGGACGTATTGTGGAAACTAAGAAATCATCATTTCCATTCACTATTTATGCTTAATTTTCCTCTTCAATGTAATATTGCTATGAAATACAGTTCATGGCTGAACAACATTAAGATATTATAGATGTGGTTGTGTATTCATTTAGCTAAAATTTACTTCAGGCCTATCGTTAGTAACTGTGTGTAAATAACGATGCATGTATGCCTCTGTAAAACATGGTACTTCTCATTTATATTTCAGATTTTATTCACACAAAGTACATATGAATCAATAGATAGAAATAAGTATTTTCATGTAAGAGTATTAAACGCATAGCAACATAGCCAGAAAAAAAATGTCAAGATTAATCATCTTCTCTTTCACAGTACATCTGAAGTCCAATAATTTATTCAATCATTTTCAGATCTTTCTAGATTCTGCTAATCAATATGTCTCTACATTTTACCTACCAGTAAATCAATTATTAAATACTTCTTGTGACTCTAAATGAGTACTATAGCTTTGAACAAGGAATTTGTGCATTTGATGAATACAAAATAGAACTTTTCAATAATGGGAATGATATTATAATTACACTGAATGTAATATTCTAAGGAAGTATTTTAACCCCAAAAGATTTAAATTTTTCTTTTGTATTCCATTCTACCATATATTCATAGTTTCGGAATAAATAATGTAAATAAGACCTCTAAGAACCTTATTTATAATGTAAATAAGAGCTCTAAGATCCTGTCATCTATTTATGAGTAAACCTGATTGAATTCAATATAGTTTTCTTCTGAGTAGACACAGAATGAATTGCACACTCATTTTTCTATACTAAGGATTTACTCACCTTGATCTCTTTCATGCCATGTCCTACTACCAGCAGCTGGTGAATTTGGGGAAGGATAAAAATCTCCTGTTGGACTTGGTTCCATATTCTCATCTATGGATATAGTTTTGGGTCTCTTACTGTAAACATACAGAAATAAGGGCTTATTTAATCAGAATTTATATTGATATTTTAAAGTATAATCCTTTTCAGACCTATCAACCCTAAAACTACACTTGATAGACATATTCACATTTTACACTTATTTTAAAGTTATTTACACTGTACACATTCTTCTCTTATTAATATACTAGTGATTGTTTTTACACTAGCATGAAGAGTTAGGTCTCCAACAGGCCTTATTCAAGAACTGACTTTGTCAGTAGAAGGCTTACATATCCAGCAGAGTCAAATTAATTCCATTATTGCAATAAGAAAGGAGGATACACATGCGCGCACACATTTGCCTATGAAAATATACAGGAATAAAAATCCTGTATGTAGATTTATGTCAGAGAGTTTTAATTCTTTAATTCTTTTAATTTAATTCTGCCTTTCTGAGTCAACAAATAATAAACTGAGACACTAATATCTATGCTGATATTAACAATTCTCACTAATTTCGGAACTATATATACTGTTTCATTAAGGCCCTTCCCTCCCTCCAATGCAGACCAAGTTGCTGGACAAATACATAATTATTTAACTGAAAGGCTGCAAAGCAAAATCATTTAAAATATTATATAACTACAGACATAATGGACGAACCTTGTTGGTGGAGAAGATAGCGATCGTTGTAAGTTAACACTTGAGTTCATGTCATGATAGTATGGTTGACCTGGAAGTTCTCCAATGGGGAAGTTTACTCCAGCTCCCTGGGTTATAGGTGCTAAAGAACATAATTTAAAGTAACGCCTATTGTCTAAATAGACATATTAACATAACCAAAGTAAAAGCAAATTCAGTTTTATCTAATTATTAGTTGTTTTGCAATTAAAAGACATAATTTGTACTATTTAGGGGCATGGGACAAGCCTTCCCTTCCATCTCAGCATGCAAGGCCAAGTGAAAATGGGTAAGATGTCCTGAAGCCCAATAAACCATAGGGAAATACATTAGGGAAAACTGTGCTTAGACAAAGACACAATTGACTCATAGACCTATGCAAAGCATCATAGATTTGTTTCAACAAAGTAACCTGGACTATGGAAGCAATCTGATTTGCTTCCCTCTCAAACGGTTTCATACCAGTACCATGGAAGAAGGCTGATTGATGGGAGTTTTATTTCAGCTAGCTCTCTAGAAGGTTCTTTCAAACTGCTCCCAATATTCCCCCTATAAAGTATTGTGCCCTCTGACCTCTTCAGACTATCTTTCAGTGGGCAAGCAGGATATGAACTGAGAGTTTTGACAGAAACAGACAGAGGCTCTTTCAACTACTTGCCCAGATTCATTAGCAAATTATTTGGAGGAGGCACTAGGCAGAATAGCTTTGGTGCACTCCACAGGATAGCTTGCAATGATGCCCAGAATGAGTTCTACCCAATCTTTTCAGGTAAAGCTTCTCTCACCTCCTCCTCTCTCAGAACATCAGTTCTGGAGACCATTCCTAAATGCAGCAAGACACATTGCTTCACAAAATACCTTTGAGGGAATTGGTTCTCTTAAAGGTTTCCCAAAATAAAACATTCCTGTGAAGCTTTGCATACCCCTATTAACTGGTTCTGTATGTTCTTAAGTTCTCACACATATCAAGTCACAAAGTCTATAGGCAATAATAGACTTCAAATGTTTCATTTTATGAAATAAAAAAATGTCTTTTGAAAATAAAATTTTATTTAATATTATTTATATTCCATTTATAATCTTACTATATTCCAAGCTATGTGTTCTGTTTTCATGTCACCAACACACGTGTCTTACATTGGTTTATATATAGTTAACTTAAAACACTAAAGGGCCCAAAACTACTGCACATTTGTAAAGAGTTACAATGTATTTTGAATGCTTAATATTACTACCTTGGGTGTGTTTGCACAGAAATAAACCCCATTAAGTTTAACAGAACATACTACCAGGTGATTATTTATAGATTATAACTTTCTTACAAATAAAATAAATGAATTCCAATATTGATTTCAATCCACTTTGAAGGTGAATGGATGTGATCAATCATCATAGGTTTGATAATTGCCAATCATGGATATTTATATCAGTTTAATATGCTACATTAGTTACATTATTCATAATCGTTACTTACTGACTGCAATTTGGACTGGCAACTCCACAACTAAGCAACATGGTAATTAAGTAAAGTCAGTACAGTCATGTGACTGTACTGACTTATAAAGTCTGTTCCAGAGTAATCATAAAGAAAACCACCGCTGGTTATTAAGTACATCATCATGTGATGGCAAATTGCAACTGCTTGCTGGCTTTCCCAATAATTTTACTTATCAAAAGCCGGCTGTGAAAGTTGCAAATGGTAATTATATAACTATGAAACACTGCAGCCATCATAACTATGTGTTGGTTGCCAAGCACATGAATTACAATCATGTGACTGTGGGGCACTGCAACAGCTACAATTTCAAGGGCTGGTCACAAACCTTCCTTTCTTCAGCTTTGCTCTAACTTCAAATGGTTGCTCTATGAGTAGTTGGTAAATAAGGACTACCTGTATTGTTAATTATGTAATTGGAGGCAATATCATAAAGAATCAACTCTGGAAAGAATCATGTAGCAACATATACAAATACAAATGTAATACGCATCCAAAAATAAAATAAAACTTCAGAAAATGAAAAAGAGACTTACTTCTAGACACTCGCACAAGTTCAGATACATTAAAGACTCCAGATTTTACAAAACTATCCTCAAGATACACTGGAATGAAAAAATAAAACAAAAATAAAATAATTAGTTCATTTGGACTAGCAAATGCAATGTTTTCTCTAAACAACCCATTCATGTTGAATACTTCACTCAAATTCTACTAAAATTGTCCAAATATACATTTTTATATGACTTTCTATAATCATATGTTATTTCAAAGAAACATTTCAAAGAAATTTGTAGTTTTTGTACAATTTGAAAGGATTATAGGCTTCTAAATGGATGCGAAATGGGTTGAATAAACTGGGCAATGGAACATAAGATGTAATGTGACTGGTATGTCATTCCATGATACAGACTTTAATGCATTCAATTACAATTCAGATTGTAACATGCTTCGTCTTAACAAAATTCCATCATATTTAATTGAATGGAAATGCTCAAACTGGAAAAAAATGTGGAGCAAATCATCACACTTTGTCAAAGTTTTCTCTTTATTTTTTTCTTTTCTCCTTACAAGTGATCTCATGGACATATGCCAAAAGATAAGCCAGGAAAGAGGTAACTGTGAAAATAAGCTCTTTTAGCATAACATTCTTCTGTTTAAGCAGCAGCTATATGAAAGCAGAACTGTTTTTGAGTACAGGATTTATAAATGGTACAAATAGCAGGAAAATGCCTGATTCTGTAGTTACTTTCAACCACTAGAGTTTGAAGAACTCTAGTAGAAAATGAAAATATGCCATTAAGAAAGTAGCTGTTTACTTCTTATAGCAGTATAAATTGATTTATAATCTTTCCTTTCCCTTAGACACCTTCTCAAGCACTGAAAAAGAAGTATCTATGTTTCACATTTTTACACGTTTTAAAGTCAGGAAAATAAAGTGGCTCCACTTATTTTTATTTGGTGAACTCAGGATTGTTAAATCACACAGGCATGCTTAGAATTGAAGTCTAAAACTATTTTCCTTAAGAGCAAATATTGAAAATAAAATTAGTTCTGAAACATGCAAAATCTGTATAGTACTATTTGAAAGCTTAAATGAGTATAAGCCTTAAATTAAAATAATACAATATTAATTATCCGGCATTTTGTATATAATTCCAAACATTCAGTTCTATAAATTGGATTTAAAAAGTACTTTTAAAATAGAAATTCAACACAATTTAGTGGTATAAGAATTTAGTGATGTAAACTAGTTAATAAAACTTCTGTGACATATACAGTACTCGACTTTCATCTTTGTGATGATAAAAGGCAATATTTACTGCCTAGTGTGATCTGCTATGGAGACAATAAAAGATAAGGAAGGAGGACTTCCGGTTTGCAAGGCTTCGGCAGCGGCAGGGATTCGCGATACCGCGCGATCCCTGCTGCGCTCGCTGCCAAGGTTCCCCCAATCCGCTTGGATTTGGGGGATATAGCTGCCCCGTAGAGGCAGCTGAAGACAGGGGGGATCCGGATGGGGGTTTGGGGGTGTCACAGACCCCCTCCCCAGCCGGCAAAACCCCCTTTTCCCAAGGCGGAGGATCGGCGGTCAGTAATGGCCGCCACAAAGAAACCTGCAGCCGGACAAGATTGTGCAGGAGGAAGAAAGTCGGAAGAGCTGTGAAAGTGGTTTTTGACCGGGACAAAGTAAGAGAAAGTACACTGGAATTTGAAAGCTGCCAAAGATAAATTGTTTCCAGAGAGAGTTACAAGCGGCGAATGGAATTCTAAAAGGGAAAGTTTTTTTCTTTTCTTTCTTTTCACTCTCCTTCCCAACGTGACAGCGGATGGAACTATAAGAGAAATTGGAAAACCTGCATTGGAGGTAATTAAATGCTGAAGGGATAAGGATTTCTGAACATTTTTTTAAAAAACCTTTTTGCTGTGAGTGGGAAGGGAGAGGGAAAAAAATTGGAGCAGAATTTGAAAATAAGGAGAAGATTGCCTAGAATTTTAAAGAGTTATTAAATATCAATAAGACTCCTAAAAGATATATTTTAAATGAAACTTTGTGACTAAACATTAACCCCAGAAAGAGAAAGTGAAGAAGGAGAAAGTACTTAAAAGAAACAGCTTATTTGGATTGCTTGGTGATTTTGGAGCTTCTGAACTATTTTTGACTAAAAGCACTTGGGTGGTTGTTTGGAAAAACCTTTTCTCTCTATAATGGCATCACTTGTGGATGGATTGAAACTTGAATACCAAAAATATAAAAAGGAAGAGCAAGAAGGGAAGGATTCTCTTGGCACTCTTTTTCAATTTTTATAAATGGCGGTTTGTACTTATGAAAAGCTGACTACGCAACAGGATGACTGGGATAATGAAGAAGCCATTTTTGATGAACAAGTGACTTTAGTTGGGGAAGAAAAGGAGAAAGAGAAAAAGGAAAAGGGGACTTTAAGATTTGGAAAAACAACCAAAAAAGAGAAGAATAAGGTGAAAAGTGGATACTATGTTAGAAAACAACAGAAAGGAGGAAAGCAGAACAAAAGGGAGGTGGAGAGACACGGGTGTAAAGAGGGCAAGGAGAAGAATAAGCAAGGGAGAACGAGAAGCCTCAATGGTGGGGAGCAAGATGCAAAGAAACAAAAGTCTTTTAGAGATAATGGGTAAACTTTATTGAAAAGGGGATTCTGGAAAGGTACATAAGATTGTATTTTTATATTTGTACTTAGAAATAATCCTAGAAAATTGGAAACGTTTAGTAATTTAAAATCTGATAAAATGTTTAGTAAATAAATAGGAGAATTGTAGTAGGAGAAGGGGGAACATTTTAACGAAACAATGATATAAAATATGTGGTGTGTGTCGGGGGGGAAATAACTATGGAAAGCATGAGTGTTCCCATAAAGGCATGATATTTAATTGAAATGGGAAAAATGTTTAAGAATATTAATATTAATGATTAGATGGTGTTATCCCAGTGAAATTTTTTGTGAAATGAGAGATTTGAAATAGGAGAAGGGGGAACATTCTAATGAAATAATGATTTAAAATATGTGATGTGGGGGGGGGGGAATAACTATGGAAAATTGGTGTTCCCATAAAAGTATGATATTTAATTGAAAAGTAATGTGTTAAGTGTTTAAGATATAAATGAATATTAATATTAATGAACAGATTTGTATTGGCATTGATAACATTGTATAATTTTAGAATGTACCAAACAGAATCCCAATGTAAGTTATGTATTTTATATTAAGTATTATAAATGTAGGGGAAAGAGACAAAGGCGTCATACTCCAATTAGTGCACAGGAGAAGTTTTGTTTAAAGAAGAAAGATAAATGGATAAAACAGAACAGACAAAGAATAATAAATATTATTATTTGAATTGAGATGAGATAAATAAAACAAAACTAAGAAAATTTAAAAGAGATGAGAAACTATATAGAAAATTGAAAATGGTAATAAGATATGGAATGGTATACAAAATGAATATGAATTTGAATTTGTGTCTGTACGAAGAGTTGTAACCCGGGACTAAGCAACTTTCAGAAAAGATGTTTTTTATGTTTTTATGTTTTGTGTTTTTGTGTGTTTATGTTTGATTGAGCTAATAAAACCTTGGAGGAATGTTAGAAGAGGAGAAATAATGAGAAACTTGAAAGGATATGTATGTGTTTATAAGGAGATGTGCCAATGGTGTATAAAATGTTTTATTTGTTTTGTTAAAATTTACAAATAACTTTCAGAAAAGAGGTTTTATGTTCTTATGTTTCATGTTTTGTATGTCTTTAAAAATTAATAAAATTTGTTCAAAAAAAAAAAAGATAAGGAAGGCATGTTCTTCTAATAGAAGATAATGTTGCTAAAATATCTATGTGAAATACATTACTTCAAATGGTCAGATACTTCAGTATTTAAATCTATAATACAGTGTAACTGACTAAAGCCTTGTTTTATTCTAGAGATGGTATCATGAGAAATAATATAACTCACTAATTATTGCCATTTCTAATCTAAAATTCTACCAGAATCCTCCTGGAAAAATCTGAACAATATAATTTATTATAATCAGAGGGTCAATCAAACAAGATGCCTCCTTGTCTATACAGCAAAGACTACGAGAGGTTAATTGTATTCTTCTTTTTTAGGAGGTATGAAAACCCCTACTTTAATACTACAATTATAAGACTGGTGTCACTGTGAATACTGGGCAAAGTCCCAAGTCCTATGTGCGCCCGTCTTTAAGAAGACAGGTTTGGAGCAAGTTGTCATAACATACCCTGAGAATAGAAGTACCTGATGGCCATACTTGCATTAAAAAAATGCAAACTAATGGTTAGAAACCTGATTTTTCCATCTGATTATATACCAAATTATAATTCCAAAACCTGAATACATAATACACGTTCTTCAACTAAAAAAGAGAATACATGTCTTGTGTAAAGATAGTTTATCAGTGAAATACTTACTTTTCATTGCCTAGTATTTGCAAAGCTTTGGTTAGTATATTCAATTTTCATTTGAACTATATAAATAAAACTATGTCCATGCATATTACTTCCTCATTTTTCTCTAAATACTTAAAGGTATTAAAATAATCAATGGCTTGCCATATTCCTTCCCCTGAAGCAATCAGAATTGCTATGATATTGAGGTAAATGCTAATTCTGTTTTTCTAAATTCTCCCACTTCTGCAAAATAGGATTATAACCCTGAAAAAACATGGGAAAGAAATGCTCCAGGAAGATTCAGGTATTGTTAAAAAAAAACACCAAATATTTAGCATTTGCCTTTGGCACAGAAGATATAGATCAAATAACTAATACAGAGCAAGTATTTTCTAATCAGAAATAAAGTAAACTGAGGTAAAAAGAGAAACTATATAATACAAAAACAGCAGATTCTGAGGTCACCCATCTGAGAGATCTTTTAAAAGTCAAATGTGAGATTGCTGAATTCTTTGCAAACCGTGGCACATCTCTTACGTTGGGTCCAAAGCAAAGGACTAAAAGTCAAGTACTGTGGCAATTTTAAGAAGATGCAGGGGAGATCCAAAACTTATTGGTTGGAATCAGTTTAATGTTCATTCTGAAAAATTGGACTTAATATTGATTCAGGGCAAACTGATGGAAAATGTAATTAAACAAAAATAACTAACTTACAGAAGATCAAACCTTGCTGAAGTAAGATAATTCATGGATTCTGCAAAAGTAACTCTGGCTTTACCAAACTTTTTAAAGTGTCAAGGGATATGGGAATGGATCCTAGCAGCATGTATATTTGGTTTTACAAAAACATCTTTGATATAACGTTCTTGATTATACTTATTAGTGCTAGATAAGAGGATGACATTTTATGGATTATTAACTGGTTTAAAAAGCAGAAAACAAAAAGTACATTTGAATCTTTTTTTCCCCAATTAAGAAAATAAGATGCAAAATCCTTCCATTATCTGTTAAGACCAGCTTTTCTAACATGCTAATAAATGGTCTGGACTGAATATAAATTTGAGGTGGACAAGTTTGAGGATGATTGCATGTCAAAGTGACTGTGAAGAACTTCAGAAAGTTCTTTAGATTCAATGAAAATAAATAGAAAATACAATTCACTCCAATAAATATAAATGGTGGACGCTGGGCAAAATCATATTTACATTGATGAATTCCTATAACTACCAGGAAAAAAGATCTTGGTATCATAATGGCTAGCTCACTGAAGATGTCAACTTAGTGTATGCCAGCTATGAAAAGAGGAAACTGTATGCTAATATTCATCAAGAAATAGATTAAAGATGAAATTGCTAACATTATTCAAGGCAGTGGTATATTCACATTTGGTGTGCAATACTCTTTGAAGCGCTGTATACTACATACTTGAGATGGGAGATGTTCAGTGTGTATAAAATAATGCTCATAAGGGAAATAAGGATAGAGAAAATATTTTGCCTTTTTTCAAAGTATTAGGATCTAGAATTATCAAATGGGGATTAGTTAGTTTTAGAACAGACTTAAGAAAGTACATTTTAACACAATGGAACATAAATGGAAATTCACTACTGGAAGATATGGTGATGACCACTAGTTTGTATGGTTTTAAAAGGAGGTTGAACAATTTATGGAATGCAAGTCTGAAACTTCAATGTTAGTTCCAGGATGGTGGAATCATGCCTTCAGTTATCATTCAAACAATAATAGAAGAGAAGTTTTCTCTTCTCATGCTCATGAGGACCCCAGCAATAGTTGGTTGGCCATTGTGAAAAACAAATGCTAGAGTAAGATGGGCTTTGGCTAGATCAGACTTTTCTTACATTCTTATAGAAAGGTATACATTAATGTATTGTATACATTAAAATGTATTAATTTTACAAAAAGTGATTAGAATACCACTGATGGTTATGGTTTATCAGAAAATGGCCGCAAACCAATTTTGCTTTCAAACATAGAGCCCTGATGACTCAAATCTTCCTGCAGCCCTTCACAAGAAATGTTTGTGGGTTTTCCACCTTGTGCTATCTGATCTTTTTTTCAAATTTTAAAAACACTTGGCAAAATGCATAATATAATAAGTCATGCTATAAGATCCCTTTATCTGTCCACTTGTAGACCTGTAAACAGAATGCAATCCTAAATATAAGGCAATTCTACTATTCATAAATTATGTTCATAAGTTATGTTTGTCCCTATTTGACTTGTAAAGATAGAACAATACTGAACCATGAACCTAATTTCCTAATTACTTATGAATTATTAATTTCCTAAAAGATGTAATAAAAATAGCAAGTTATCTGTAATAATAATTGAAGGCCAATTAATTCTGCACAGGTTGCAAACATTCCAGGAAAATAAATCAGTTGTAAACAGATAGTCTATATGCACTTCCTTTTCTTCTCCTACATACAATCAAGGTGATCATGCTAGCTTTTAATAATTGTGGTTAATGCTTTAAGAATCAGCTGATTATTATTTTTTTGCCAGTGTCCTAGAGTGCAATTCATCTTATTCTAATTTTCAATCCTATGAAACATACCAGTTTTTTCTTGGAAGTGAATCAAATTGTCTTTTCTTTGTTATCTCCTAGCATGTTCTTCCTTATTCAATGATATCAAGTTATTAATTTAAGAATTAACTAGGAGACAAGTGTAATTAATGACAGTTTCACCAGCTTATTGCTGTTGGACATCAGTAAAAGTTGGTGGTATCCCATGAACTTCTAGTGCTTTTTTTGCAGATCTGGCAACTAAAATGGTTTCCAACAGGGTTTGTTTAAAGCCAGAATAAAGAGGCAGAAGTTTGCCGTGATTTCCACTTTTATACAATATATTCAAAGATAAAAGCAAATAATTGTATTCGACCAAAGTATGAAGATAAAGAACACTTTGGGATAATCACTCTGACCTCAGGTTTCAACTGTGGAAAGAAAACTTTCTTTCCAAGTCTGGTCTTGTTCATTTGAGGTCTCAAAACCTGCTGCCATTAAGAGATGGATGAAGATATCTGAATAATTCCTTAGAACTGCAAGCCCTTGTATAATATATTCTGGTACATGTTGGTTTTACAGGTCTTATATCATTTTACTTTTATTTTAGTTTAGTTTAAACATTTTAGCAATCAATGACATTGGTTAGCAACCAAAATTCTGGTCCCAATTGTAATAATGAGTTACTGTCTATAAAATATTTTTTGCTGCCAGTTGATAAACTAAAGAAAAATCTTTGGAATCCACATCCCTAAAGCAGATAGGTAAATATCAGGTATACCTGTATCATTTTTCACACTTTTGGTTTTACTACTGTAATAAAAAAAGACAAAGATTTCCCTTTCCAGTTGAATCCAGCTCTAGGGTGCAGTGTTTATCTCTAGTTTCTTGTCCAAAAAATATTTTCCATGGTCATGTGGCTAGCATGGCTATTGACTAAAGGCAAACAGAATGGTGTTATCTTGCCACTGAAGTGGTATGTATTAATTTACTTGCATCTCTGCATGCTTTCAAACTGCTAGGTGGGCAGGAGCTGGGACAGGAACAGGAACTCATCCCATTGTGTGGTGCTCAGATCTCGTACCCAGGCTGTCAGCTTTCCATCTGACAAGTTCAGCATCTTTAACCACTGAGCATCGCCCCCTCCCCACTACAGTAATAGGAACCTATTAAAATCATGGTATACAACTTATTTGAACAGTTGTCTGCAGCTTGTACAGTCCCCACCTGATCATGCTAAGAAATCTTACATGTACTGAAATTGATATTTTATACCCAGAGTTACGTATGACTGTGTACGCTGTGTAAAACTATAGAATAGTTTTCAGTATTGTAAAGTTAGATTACTAAGTCTTAATTTAAAATAATTAACTGAAGGAAGAGCACCGCTTTAGGCCAATTGTTTTGAAGGTAATGATGAAGCTCATAAATTGAGTTGTCAAATTTGCGATGGAAGCCTGACTTAGTACTACCAACTTTTTTTTTCCAAAATAAACTATGAATTTTTTTTGCAACAGTTGTTAATGCTTTTTTATTTGGCAAAAACATCTTGCCTTTCCTCTTTAGTTAAAAAGGCAAATTACCAGACACCCTAAAGAATGCAACAGTCTAGCCAAATATAGAGGAACTGATTTCCACTGCCAGTAGCTTTGCCAAGTATTGCAGTTTGCAGGGATTTTTCTCCCTTCTTGGCAAAGCACTTACAAAAATTATGACATTCCAAAACTCTAGTAATTTTGCATGCAACATCCTGGACTCTACATTCTGGGTTTGGGTTAAAGATTGCTATAAAAATATCTTTACTATTAGTCCTGTAGATTCATTAAAATCTTGGGTAAGACCAGTGGGTATAGAATATATTAGATTCATTCATTTCTTCCTACAAATTTACCCGCTGGCTTTGCTATTGACTTTGGAAAACCAGCAACTAATCCCACAAATGGTGATCATAGCTTCTTACAACATTATCATGAGCTGGGCACCTATGTGCCTGAGTTGCAGTCATGTAACCACAGGGTTGTTACAATGGCTGGAACTTCAGGACTGGTCATACATTCAGTTTTTCAGTGCTGCCATAACTTTTAACCATCAGTAAATAGCAATAGCAATAGCAATAGCACTTAGACTTACAGTGCTTTACAGCGCTCTCTAAGCGGTTTACAGAGTCAGCCTATTGCCCCCAACAATCTGGGTCCTCTTTTTACCCACCTCGGAAAGATGGAAGGCTGAGTCAACCTTGAGCCTGGTGAGATTTGAACTGCCAAATTGCAGGCAGCTGGCAGTTAGCAGAAGTAGCCTGTAGTACTACATTCTAACCACTGTGCCACCAGAGCTCACCAAATGATTATATGTTAGTATTATAAAAACAATTGCGTCAACTCCTTATTTCCATTTCATACAAATTAATAAATCTATTGTTTAACCTAATCCACTACACAGTGCTAATCAATTACATATACTGTTGGAGATTACATGATCCATTAAATCAACTACAGTAGCTAACTATATTTTGGCCTAGCATGGTATGTGAAAGCAGCTGCTGTGCTTACTTTTAGTTTTTGGTTTACCATGTCATGACAAAATTGGGTGCAATCTTGTTTAAGTTTGCCATAGATAAATGTGTTATGAAAATGAAGTATTTATGAATAACATAATCTGCTCTCAAACAACATGCAACTATGAATGGCCTAAAATTCATTTTTACCTGGTGGATTCTTGGCAGGATCGTTGTGGCTTGGACTTCCTGATTGTCCAGAATCTACCAAACAAAAAATATGAAGAAATATGTATTATTTGTTTCTAGCATGTCACAAAACTTACAGTGTTTTGAATGAATCAGTTTGTATAATGTAATTTTGAACAATTCACTGTTATCATTGAGGAATGAGGGGCAAGAATAGATTGGTACCCCTTATGAAAATTTTGCTGAATTAATATGCATATCTGGCCTATATATTTCCTAAAATACACAATTGGAAACAATGTGTTGCAATTGAAGAATGGAAAAAGTATCACCCCCAAAATGGTGAGGCATAAAAATGGTTAAATAAACACAAGCTATATTAGGCACACATTTAGAAACCCTCATAAGGCTCAAGAGCTATAAACATTGTTTAAATAAATAAATAACACTTTAAAGGAACTATCTTTTTAAGTTCCACAGGAAACGTATACAATAATGTCCAAACCTCTCCCACTAAAATGTTATCTGTCCATAAATATATTTATTGAGCTTAGCCCAAGTCAGCATCATTGGATACAAATATAATATGAATGTATGTTATAATGGAATCATAAAAGAGAATAATGTAGTTAAATATAATTTTATAGAAAGTTAATGACTTAGTATTAATAGTTTATATGAAATTTGATGCTTCAAAGGCATAAACTGTTAAGCTTTTACTATAGCAAGATGCTATGGTAAGGCTGCATGAGGGCCTTGTGAAGAGATTAGCAGTTGCTTCGGCCAGGCATGTTTTGTCAGCTGGGGGGGGGGGGGTGCAGCAAGGGTAGACAGCAGAGTACAGGGTGATCAAAAAGGCAGAAATTTTGGGGTGGTAGGTATGCAGGGGAAGCTGAAGCACACACTGCCATGGTAAATGTGGGCAGACTACTGATAATGTGATTGTGGGGGCACTGCAACAGCCATAATTTCAAGGAGCAGTTGTAATTACCATTTTTGCAGCACTATTATAAGCTGAACCAATGGTCATTAAACACAGATATCTGTATTGCTTTCTATAGCAGTATGATTTTTTTAAAAGAAAATCAAGTATTTTAGATTTGATAGTTAATTTAAGCATGAATTATAATTATTTCTCTAATTTTCGATTCCATCTATTCTGCCTAACACAATATACAGATATAGCAAAGCCTTTAATTTCTGCAATGGCAAGTTGAACCCAAATATTTGAATCTTAATACCTATGATATGCAACATTTTAAGTATATTTGAGTATATTCAAACCTGTTCCCCCCTCTCAATGGGGATGTGGGTTTTATTCTCGCCTTTCATCGTTTCCAAAGCCTCAGGGGGGGTAGCGAAAATACAGGCTATTTAAAATGCAGACTCTGCATTCTATTTTAGAGAGCATTCGGGAGGGCGATCTCCTCTCTTCCACTGATCTCATGGAGGTTTACCTCCACATCCCCATTGGGCCTCATCATCGCCAGTTTTTCCATTTCTGTTATCAGAATACCCATTACCACTATCGAGCACTTCCCTTCGCCCTTTCATCGGCTTCAAGGGTCTTCACAAAGGTTCTGGCAGCATTGATGGCATCTCTGCTTTCTGTTCCAGTGAGGATCCAATGCTACTTGGACAACATTTTGATTCTGTCCTCCTTCAGCCATGCAGCCCATCGGGATCTGCAAATTACCCTGTCATATCTCCAGAGCCACGGATTTTTCCACTCCTGTCCACTCTAATGGTTCCTGCTTCCCTACCAACAAGCAGGAACCAGCCACTCATCCATCAAGGTCCCGCTCCCGCCACAAATCCGGAGATCTCTCAATTGGTGGTGTTCCCCGTTAATCTGGAAGGGACTCCTTTTCAGGGTCCCAGACAGGCAAGTAATAACCACCGATGCCAGCCTCCTGGGTTGGGGTTCCCATATGCAGGGCCAGATAGCTCAGGACCTTGGTCCAGGTCAGAGCAGGCCCTTCCCATAAATTGGCTAGAGCTCAGAGCCATTTTTCTAGCTCTCAAGCATTTCAGGCACTCATGACCGGCTCTCATGATCTAGTCCTTATGGACAACATGGCCACCATGCCTCATGTCAACCGGCGGGGGAGACGAGGTCCAGAGCCCTCATGGGAGAGGCTCTATGGTTGGGGTTATGGGCAGAGCAACACCTGTTGTCGATCTCGGCAGACCACTTCTCCGGGATCAACAACTCCCAGGCGACTGGCTCAGCGGGAGCCTAGTCGACCAGGCAGAATGGTCTATTCCTCCTTCTCTATTCAGGGACCTTTCCCTCAGATTCGGAGGTTTTTGAAAGGGGCTTCCAACCTGCACCCCCCGGTGGTTCACAGGTATCCTTCCTGGGATCTTCATGTGGTCCTTTATGCCCTTACAAAGCCCCCTTTTGAACCCCTTAGACCACTGTCTCTCCGTTTCCTGACTCTGAAGGTAGTGTTCCCCGTTTCCATCACTTCAGCCAGGCGGGTATCCGAGCTCGCTGCTCTTTCCATCAGACTGGACCTTTGTTCCTTTCATGATGATAGGGTTGTCCTCAGTCTGGACCCCTCATTTATTCCAAGGGTTAACACCTGTTTCACAAGTCCCAGGACATTATGTTGCCTGGCTTTTGCCCCCTCCTGCACCATGACTTAGAGCAGCAGTGGCACTCGCTAGACGTAGGTAGGGCTCTTAGAATATACATTAAGCGCACTTCCTCCTTCAGGAAGTCTGAAACCATTTTGTTTCCTTTTCCCTTCTCACTTGGGGCACAAGGCCTCTTCTCCTACTATTAGCAGGTGGGTCAGATCTTGCATTGAGCAGGCCTACAAAGCTGCGGCCCTTCCAGTTCCTCGAGGTCTGATGGCGCATTCTACCAGAAACGCGGCCACTTCGGCTGCCTGGGCAACCCAAGCACCCTTGGAGGAGATCTGTCGTGTGGCCACATGGACATCTCCTTTCATCAGATACTACCGTCTGGATGTCTTTGCCTCGGCAACTGCAGCCTTCGGCAGACGGGTGCTTCAACGAGACGGGTGGTTCAACAGTCAGTGTGATGAGCCAGATGAGGACCCACCCATGGACATGCAAGCTTTGGTATGTCCCATCCTGGGCTCTCGATGCAGCATGGAGGAGAATGGGCGTTGGTAGAAGTTACCCTGAACGCCCTTTCTATCTATGCTGCGAGAGAGCCCAGCCCCTCCCTTGATTCGTCCGGAGAGGGTAAGTCATATTTCTGTATTCATTTGTGCTTTCAGAGACACCTTTCAGTCTGTCAAGTATCTTTGCCAAAGCTGGGGTCTCTTTCGGGGGCTGGCTTTTATATCCTAGTACAGACTCAGTTAAATGACATCATAGGAAGGAGTCAAGCCATCCTGGGCTCTCTCGCAGCATAGATAGAAAGGGTGTTCAGGGTAACTTCTACCAACGCCCATTCTGTCCCTCCTGTGGAGGCTAGATTGGGATGCTAAAGATGAAATTACCAAATGAGAAGAATTAGCAACTCCTCAATAGACAAAAACCTGGCTTTGGGTCTCATGTTCTTCTTGGAATTGCCTCTTTTGTTATTAACACATGTTTTTTCATATCCAAAATATGCCCATTTCTCCAACAGTTGAGACATACCAAATAGTATGTACCAAACTTATGTTCTCACTGTTCTTGAGGATCTGCCTCTTACATGGGTGCTCATATCGATAGATGTATACATCAAAATCCTAATAATTCTTTTATGGGATATTGCAGATTGGAATGTTAAATCCAAAGACTCCATTTTCATGAATTATATGTTGCTGAATTTGATATATTTTGACTTCAAGAAACATGACAAGCTAAAAGCTTGTTGATAAGTGGGTCTTTCTCACTTACAGGAGCTCTTGGAGCAGGACGAAGTAGATTCGTGGTGGCTTTTATTACCCTGAAATATTACTCATAATTTAGAATCACAGACCTCATTTCTTACTTTCTTTCCTGTTTACTTACATTGAATAAACTGCACAAACCCCAGAGGACTGGTCTAGCTTTCATATTATCCATACTTTAAATGAGCTAGCAGGTTTCAGGACTGGACACTGTATTGGTGGACAGGGCTTTATACTTCAATAACTGGCCCAAAACTACACATTTAAAATAAGCTCAATCTTACATTGCATTTATTGATTTTAGGTCCATATCTAGTCCATAGAACACTAAGCATATGAATATTGCCATTAATAGAAAGATCTTTATAAGAATTCTAGAATCAAGTTTCGATGCAGTAGGCAAGGCCACCACACTAATGATATTCCAATTTACACGAGGGAGGGATATATTTTATCATCCCTGCTGTTTAATCTGTACAAAAATTCACTCATGATTAAAATAATCAATTAGAACAGAGGTGGTTATTAATCAGGTTCTGACCAGTTCTGGAGAACCGGTAGTTGGAAATTTTGAGTAGTTCGGAGAACCAGCAAATACCACTTCTGACTGGAGATTTTACAGTATCCTTCCCCTGCCATGCCCACCAAGCCACACTCACAGAACTGGTAGTAAAAAAAATTGTATCCCACCACCAAATTAGAAGACCCTCAACCCCCAAAACTAGCAAACACACATACTGCAACTTTGTTGTATGCAGATGACACAAAAGTCCTGTCACAAATATTTTCTGCACTTAAATGAGCTTTTAATGCTCTAGCCAATTATTGCTCTGAGGAATCACTGAAATCAACTAGTAAAACTGAGAACTTGATCTTTGCAAAGGCACCTAAATAACACGCCTGGAGGAAATATGGCTGGAGTACCAAACAAGTTAAAATTGTTAATTATTTGCACATGGTTTTCCATAGGTTCCCACATACCAAAATGATGCCTTACAAAATGCTCAAAAACACTGGCCACATTTCATTATTTTCAGAGGAGCACAGCATATTGTAGCAGGACTGAAGCTATATTCAAGCTAAGGCTTATGCACAACTACTTTTCAATGTAGTTGAAAAAATAGAACCTTACACTTCCTTTTATTCTCTTGAAAAGGTCCAGTCTAAATTCACAAGGGATATATTCCAGATAGCCTTTTGTGTTCTAAATGTAGTATT